TTGTGTCAGTAAAATGTACACCCACTGATCTGATTTTTAGTTCTTTGATGTCTGGTAACTGAGCCCTTCTACGAGGTGTATCTCTTGAGGGCAGCATATTCATGGGTCTTGTTTGTGTGCTGCTGTTGTTGATTTTCTGACCATAGTGTTCCAGGAAACATTTTTTTGTAATGCTGGTTTTGTTTTTGTGAATACTTTAATATTTTCTTGTTTTGAAATACCTATATTTCTCCTTCATATTCAATGGATAATTTTGCTAGATGTAGGATTCTTGGTTAACAGTTGTTGTTTTTTGCTTTCATAATTTGGTATATGTTGCCCCATTGTCTTCTTGTCTGCATAAATAATGATGAGAGGTCTATGCTTATGCCTGTCAGTTTTCTTTTGAAGGTGACTGGTTTTTTATTTTTCCCTGTTTTCAAAATGAATCCTTGATCAATTATATATTTTTATTATTTTGTATCTTACACTGTCCGGTTTTCTCCCTTCACCACATTTCTGTTATTTGTCTCCTTTGGGGTGGGGGAGGGCTATATATCCAACCTTGTGCTGGGTTCCCTCTTCCCCCACCCCAACAATCTCTCTATCTTCTTGATATCGCTATTCCCACTACTGTTCCTGAGGGTTTTATCTGTCCTGAATTCCATGTGTCCAGAGTTCTTATCTGTACCAATGAGGGTTCTCTAGTCTAGCCAGATTTATAAGGTAGAACTGGGTCATGTCAGTGGAGGATGTGGGTGAGGGAGCATTCAGGAACTAGAGGAAAGATGTGTGATTTGTTTGCAATATACTACACCTTGGTTGAATCATCCCTTCCTTATAACCCCACTGTAGGTGGATATCCAATTGTCTACAGATGGGCTTTGGGTTTCAACCCCTTTCATACTCATCGATATAATTGTTTGTTTTGGATCTTTTCATACCTGACACCTGATCCTGTCAACACTTCATCATCACACAGGCTGGTGTGCTTACCCTACGTGGGCTTATTTGCTTCCCTGTTAGATGACTGCTTATTTAACTTCAAGCCTTTAAGGACCCAGACACTATATCTTTTGATAGGCAGGCACCACCTACTTTCTTCACCACATTTGCTTATGCTATCAGAACAAAATGTTCTTATGTTAAGGGAGGCCTTAAATAGAGATCCAAAGTCCATCTGCTATGCTATCTTAATACTTAACATATAAATATATGTACGTTGGCCTCTATCCCTTTCATTATAAATTCATATATTTATAAGTATATGCATGCCTATAGCTATACCTCTATAAATAGCTTTTGCCACCTACTTCTTTCCTCTATTTCCTTTCACCTTTCTCCTGTCCCACTATAATGCTTACCCTCCACTCAGTTCTCAGTAACTCTTCTCGGATATATTGAACTTGATCATTGCAGCCCCCACCCCCTCCCCCCAGCTCTCCTTGCCATCTATTTTAGATCTCTTGCTCTTCCCTCTTCCCTGAGTTTTTTTGGCTTCCCACTTGCCCTCCCTTTCCTGTCCATTCCCATGTCTCCCTGGGAACTTTGATCTCATTGTTTTCTCCTTGGGATTGTTTGTCCTGCCTATCTTATATAGATAGACATAGGGCAAAAAAACCCAAAAAGCAAAAGAAGACCCTCATAGATAGTTCCAGATCTGTCTGCTGAACCTTATGAATGTTTTCCAGTTGGGTCTGATGAGGTGCCAAGCCCTGTGCCCCAAGTCAGAAGTCTATTTGAGTATTCCTCAGGGACTTAGTTGCTTTGCTCCCCTTGCACTCCCTTCACATTTCACCCCACTGTGTGTGGGGCAGACAAGGCATGCTTTCTGCATAGTATCTCCAGTGCTATCCCCCATAATGCTGTGGGTCAGTAAGGGAACTTTGTGTTGTAGGGTGGCCCTACAACCCTCTCTGTGCATTTGTTGCTGTGAGCAAGGATGTCTTCCCCAGAGCATGGTGGACCATGATGAGTTTCTCTCTCTTTCCCTCTTAGTTCGCACCCGCGTGGTCTGGACAGAGTCGCCCTCTCCCCGGGCTATATCAGTGCTGTCCTCTGCATTACATTCTTCTAAGGAGGAGTTCAAGATAGCTCAGCTTGGGCCTGGACCTGTCATTCTTTCTGTTAGTTCGCTACCCCATGCCAGTATGTTGCCCTCAAGGCTTGGTGCTCCAGGATGGGGTCTGGTCCCTATCTCCCTTTCCTGTGGAGTTACCTTCCCGGTGTGGGTGTTAGTACCCTGTTCCCCCATCACCCTCATTTTTCCCCTTGTTTAGTTGGCTGCCACGTGAATCCCTGGGTTGGATCAGACCCCTGATAAAGTGCCTGGATCTTGACCCAGGATTTATGCATTAAGTAGCTTATCCTATATGCCCATTGTACTTTTTGAGCTTATCTCAGTGGACTCATGTTGTACTTTGTGCTTGACTAACTTCACTTGGCATAATTTCCTCAAACTCCTTCCATGAGACAATGTGCTTTATGTGTTTGTCACTGCTTTTCAGGGCTGCATAGTACTCAATTGAATGTATATACCAGCGTTTTTAATCCATTTGTCAGTTGATGGAAATTTAAATTGTTTCCAATTCTTTGAGATTGTGAACTGCGCCATTATGAACATTGGAGCATAGATGTCTAGTCTTGGACTGGTTCTTACTTCTTCTGAGTATATCCCCCTGAGGGGGATTGCTGGATCATGCGGTAGCTAGATTTCCATTTGTTTTAGGTATTGCCAGATCAATTTCCAAAGTGTCTGCACATATCTACAGGACCATCAGCAGTGAATGAGAGTTCCTATCCAATCACACCCCCTCCAGCACTTGTTGCTTTCTGATTTTTTTAATGTAGCTCATAGTTGTTTTATTTTACATTTCCCTTATGCTAATGATGGGAACATTTTCTCAAGTGTTTGTTGGCCATTCTGATTTCAGACTCTGTGAAACTTCTGTTCAGGTCTTTTGCCCACTTCTTCAGTGGGCTCTTTGTTTTTTGCTTGTTGTGGGCTAGCAGAGTATTGTAGATTTTAATAATAAGCCTTTTGTCTGATGCATCATTGCTATAAGTATTTTCTCTTATTACTCTCTTGGTGAAGTCTTTTGATGTGCACACGTGTTTTATCTTCAATATATTTCAGTATATCCCTCTTGTTAATTTGTGCTTCCTCTGTGCTTGTGTCCTTCCTTGTTTCTGATAGCCTGTGTATTCCCTGATCCAAAGTTATTAGGTTTATCCCAATTCCCTCATTGATGACCCTAATACTTTGGGGTTTTACCTCGAGGTCTGTGATCTACCTTGACTTTATTCTTGTGCATGGAGTGAGGTGAGGATCTTGCTTAATTTTCTGCAGGTAGATATCCATTTTTTCCAGCACCACTTGCTGAATAGAATGTCCAATTCCCATTCAATATTTTTGAGGCCCTTATTGAAGAACAGTTGTCTGTGTGCTAATGTTTTTAGTTCTGGATCTTGTGCTCTTTTCCATTAGTCTGAATATCTGTCTTTACACCAATACCACGCTGTTTTGACCACTGTGGCTGCATGATAAGTGCTAAAGTCAGGTAAAGTAAGTCCTTCTACTTGGTCTTTCTTGAGGAGTTCTCTGCTAATTCTTGACTTTTCCCCTCTCCATATGAAGTTGGTAGTCAGTTTTTCCAATTCCTTAAAAAAAGATGTTGGTATTTGTGGCGGGATAGCAGTAAATTTATATAATGCCTTGGGTAGGATTGACATTTTTGCTATATTGAGTCTTCTTATCCACGAGCATGGGATATTCTTCCATTTTTGTGGTCACTTTTTGTTTCTTGTAATAATGTTTTGTAGTTTTCTTCGTACAAATCTTTTGGGGTTTTTTTGGGGGGCGGTGAGGGTGAGGGGGTATGCATATCCCTAGACACTTCAATTTGTGTTTTGCTATTTTGAAGTGTACTAACTTTTTTTATATCTTCTTCCATTATCTTGTCCGGTGTATATACTAATCCAATAGACTTCTGTTTGTTGATCTTGTATCCTGCCACTCTGACATATTCCTCTATCATTTTCTTGTTGAGCTTTTAGGGTTTCCAATATATAAAATCATAACATCTGTGAATGATCATAGTTTCACCTCTTCTTTCCGCAGATGAATTCCTTTAATGTCTTTCCTTTGCCTTATGTTGTTAGCTGGGACTTCCATTACGATGTTGAATAAAAGCGGGGACAAGGGGCATCCTTGTCTGGTCTCCTCTTTCAATGAGAATGTTTTCATCTTTTCTTCACTAACTATTACATTGGCTGTTGGGTTTTCATATATGGATTGTATATTCTTCAATAATTATATTCCTCAATATAATTATTGAGAAATTTTCCTTCCGTTCTTATATTCTTGAGTGTCTTGGATGTCATTGAATGCTTTTTCTGCACCTGTCAGTCTTATCATGTGGTTTTTGTCCTTTTTCTTGTCAATGTGGTGAATAAGGTTGATGCACTTTTAGATATTGAACCATGCCTGCATCCCTGGAATGAATCCTACTTGGCCATGATAAATTATTCATTTTCTACACTTTTGTATTCTGTTGGCCAATTAAGGATTTTTGCATCGGTGTTCTTTAGAGATATTGGTCTGTAGGTCTCAATTTTTGTGGGATCCTTACCCACTTTAGGTATCAGTGTTATACTAGCTTTATAGAAAGAATTTGGGAGTTTGCTGCCCTTTTCTGTGCTCTGTAAGAGTTTGTGTAGGATTGGTGTCATTTCTTCCCTGAATGTTTGGTAAAATCCTCCTGTGAAGTCATATGGCCTGGGGGATTTTTAAGTTGGTAGTCCATTAATAATCTTATCTATTTCTTCTCTTCTTATGGGTCTATTGTGGTTCTTGATGTCCATCTGGGCAAATATAGGGAGGGATTGTTTTTCCAAGTATTTGTCCATATCTTCCAAGTTTTTTAATTCATTGGAGTACAGGCCTTTGTAATACTGTGTAATTAATGTCTTAATTTCATTAGGGTCTGCTATAATTTCCCCCATTTCATTTCTCATCCTGGCTATTGATGTTTGTCCCTTCCTTTGTTTAGTTTTGTCAAGGGTCTATTGATTCTGTTAATTTTTTCAAGTAACCAGCTTTTTGCTACATTAATTTTGTTGTTGTTGTTCCACTCACTTATCTCCGCCTCAAAATTCTTGATGTAAACATTGCTGCATTCTTTTGCCCAAGGTTCAAGTTCTGCTTCTTGTTCTTTACAAGACTTCAAGAGTCCAACAAGTATTTTCCGATGATTGAGAAGAATTCCATTCATTTTATCAATAGTTCTTTCAGCTGCTTCCTATGTCTCAAAATGTACAAATCCATATCCCTTGCACCCATTTTTATCACAAACCACCTTAGATGAGAAGTTGTTACCCAAAGCAGAAAATATACCATACAGTACTTTATTATCAATAAATTTGTCCAATTTTTAATTAATATGTTGCCCACTGCTCTTGTGAAGTGATGGATCATGCTGAGACCACATGATGCATATTGGCTTTCCTTTTATAACATCAAAATTCATGGTGGCCAAAGCAGCTCCAAGTTCACATACATGTAGCCCAAAGAACATCCCTGCAGGCTCAAATTGAGAACATGGGCCAACCAGGCTAAACGTCTCATAAAGCATTGCCTCAGTCATTTAAGGGTGTAGGCGAGGCCAAAGTGTAACTGAGGGCATTGGTGTTTTTTTCAGCACAGCCACAGGTTGACTTTTTTTTTTTAAGAGAGGTCATGCTGGGGTGGGGGGGAGGGGTCACAGCCAGGAGGAGGGGAGTAGAGGCATGTGCAGAGGGACAAAAGTCAACAGGAATATAAAACTATTGAAGGGCTGGCCACAGAATGGGGTCTATCAGCTGACTCCAGCAAACAGCTGCCAACTGGGGAGCAATGGTGTTGGTGTTGGGTCTGGGGACCAGGAAATCATGATCTCTTAGTTCTTTCTTGGAGCTAGTGTGGGACCACGGGTGGGTGGATCAATCTCAGCTGCTTCACTGGGTTATTTTATAAAAGAGGAAGAAGAAGGGAGAAGTCTTTGGCAGGGAAGACACAGAGTTTTTGTAAATTTGGGTTTTTTTTCCAAAAAAATACTTATTTTTGGATTTTTTAATAATAAAAGTTTGTGTCCTGAGCCTGGAGCACAGAAGTCCTTACTCTCACCCCTAACTGCCGAGGAGAAGGTCAGTCATTTATTTTAGTCTGAGTGTTCTTCACTTACTTGTGTTGTTTCTCTTTGTGTGTGTGTACCAATATCCCTTGTTGCTTACTTGACATCTTTCTGTAGTTATAAGGGGTGTTATGGAGATGGGGTTGTGTATGGATAGCTAACTCTGTTGACTAGTGCTATGGAGGAATGTTAAACACTTTAAAGCAGGTATTGGGAAAAGAGCACTAGAGTAGGGATTAGATGATAGATGAAAAATGGAAGGGAAAGTGTCAAATGGCAAAGAAAAAAGGATCAAGTAGAAGAAAAAAAGGGCAGTGCTAAATGGTGAATTATTAAAAATGAGGGAAAATCCTTATTTTGCAAAGATAAAAGAAAGGACAGTACTAAAAAAGTGGTAGAGGAAGGGCTAGGAGAGAGACAAAAAATGGAAGGGAAAGAATTAGAGGAAGAAGAAAAAAGCAACCAGGTCATGTTAACTGTTAGGTTATATAAAATAAGAAAAATAGAAATGAAATTTCTCATTTTTCAAGGATGAAAGGATAATATTGTTTAAAAATAAATTTAAAAGTAGTTTTGTTTTTAAACATAAGCTTTGTTTTTAAACATAAGAGAGGGAAAAAGGATTGATGAGAAGAAAAAAGAAGATAAATCCTTTAAGTGTTTTTAATTAAAAAAAAACAACAAGACAAGTAAGAGCTCTTGGAGCTAATTTATTTGGGCTATAAGCTCTGTTCAGAAGTCTAGTGAGAGAATGGTGTGTTTTTGGGAGAAGGGTGGGAAGCCTAGCTGGATTTAGGACCTGTGCTAAAGCACAGTTACAATCAGTGTCTGTGAGTAAGTGACCCCACCTAGTCAGGTACTTGGGGTAGCTGGAGTATTTGTATACTCTGCAAGGGACTGGAGGTGAGGATTGAGTGGGATGGAAGTATATGGAGAAGTTTCTCAAAGTGGTCATAGGGCTGAGTGGGTGCAGAGGTGATGCATCACACACCTTCCAAGAAGCATGGGTCTCTGAGAAGAAATGGGGAGGATTAGCAGGGTTGTGCAGCTTTTATTAGAATATCCCAGAGGGAAGAAATGGAGGATGAGCTGTCCCAGGGGGTAACTACCTGATGTCTTTTAGGTTGGGCTAACTGAGGAGTTAGCTGAGAGAGGGAGGTATTGTTAACTTGAAGATTGTAGAAGTGGTGAGGAAAATGTGTGTGTGTGTGTGTGTGTGTGTGTGTGT